GGGGGGGGGAGGTAAGAGTACTGTTGTGTTCTACTTCTACTTTGGTACGGTTTGGTCTTGAGAGTTGAGAGTGTGGGTGAGTGATTTATTGCAGCTGTAGTTATAGAGAGAATGAGGGAGAACAAATTTAAAGTCAGGTGGGATCCCCTTCTTTCTCAATATTCCACAGAAAGAAAAAAAAAACCCCAGTGATGACAAACCAAAATATTGCTTTAAAGAAATATATCTTTGACCCAACAAAGAATGCACAAAACATTGCACAAAGTTCTGAAAACAGTTTTGAAAAAAATAAAAATGAGAACTTTGATGATAAAATTGATAACCAAAGCAGCTCACACCTCCTCAACCATAACTAGAAATTTGAAATAAGAAACAACAAAACCACCAAGCCAACATCTGTAAAAACCACCCACGTCAGGCTGGGCTGAAACTGTCAGTCACTGAGAAGCTCCGCTCCAGAACAGCGAACATCACAGCGGAGAAATAAAACCTACATCTCGCCACCTTAGAATGGCACAGTTCTATCTGACATTTTAGGCCAGTTTGAGTTACAAAGTCCAGGAAGTAAGAAACCAAATGTTTTATCTGCTCTACCAAAATTGTAAGATTATTCAGAGCCGTTATCAAGATATTAGCAAAGAACTGCATTCGAAGAAGCTTGACATTTTGTGAAAACCATAATTTTTCACACCAAATTTCTCAAAACTACGTACTGAGCAGATAGTACTTTGTAATTGCCCGCACTCTGACGTGGGTGGTTTCATGACCTGTGCTCAAACACACGTCTTCATATCGTCGCTGCCATCATTCTACATTGATGTGTGTCAAAATTTATTTTCAAAATGGAAATCAAGTATGTTGTAGAGTTAGATGAGCACATGCGCATCGATTGGTCCAGTCTCATTCCTCTCCTTGAAATAGTAACAGATTAAGACAAATTAAACGTTTTGTAGCGAGATAGATAATGTCCTGCCCAAAATAAACGTTTTTCTTTTTCTCCTGAAAACCTTGTATTTTGACATACAACAATCATGAACGACAGTGACCACATATCCATACAGCGGCAATCGAAACAATGCAATGATTATATACCTGGAACTTGCAAGTTCATTCTGAAACGAAAAGCAAAATGAAATGAAACTTGAGGCGCATGTTTACAGAACCTAGCCATCCACTCAACTGCATACAATGACATCAAAAAGAACATAGACACACACAATATTTTCAATTTGGTCATATCGTTAGATCACAAAAAGAACTGCATAAACTTTCAACAACCAACTTTTCATAAAGGCTACTGATATATTTATATATATTTATGAGCGCTGCTGTAAAACAAATTTCCCCCAAGGGGAATTTATTATATATGTATTATTATTTGAAACATACACAGAAAACTCACCACAAAATTGAATTCAACTTTTTCAATTGGGAGTTTCAAAATGGGAAGGAAAAGTAGGACCTGCATGTAGCACCCTCAACCCGCTCATTGCCTATCTTATCTCACATGCCAGACAGACAACAAGGAGAAAAGTAGGAGGAACCAACCAAGGTCTAAACACCCACCACAAATCGAAAGCACGTCCCGCTTCAGAGGTTAGGTGTGTTCTGAGCTGCAAGCCCACACAAAAACCACAAGCAAATAGACCGTCAGGGCATTTCATGATGTGGGTAACAAGACTTTTCACAGAAACGGGAGAAGGCAAATATTTCCATGAAGCTGTAGGACCCAATCTGTTGTTCCCCCCCAAAATGTAACAACAACATTGACAGGATCAGTCATATTCCCATTTTTTCGTAAGTAAAAATATATTGAATGATAATTTGCCGTACAGGGTATAATTCTGGGCATCCATAAATAAAGAGCTGTGAGTTTTATGTTGGCTTAGAGTAAAAAGCCAACAGTACACCAGATGAATCATGAACATTTTTTCCACATGTACTGATTGTTCCACAAGAAATGAAAGAAAAAAAAGCACAAGAGCAGATGATGGAATGAATACAACCAGACAACTCCCTACTCTCTGCATCCCAATCAGACCCCCCCCCCACAATAAATATGTGACAATGGAGGAGCTGAAGTATACATCTGATCACTATGACAACATCGGGAAAATGACTAGACCATTGGATACAAGCCACAATTGGTACATTGTCTCATCTTATCACATTTAACTGGAAACATCAGACCGCCATTCTTCGTTGATTCTGTCAAGTTCTCCGTAAACCCAAAATAACTTCTTCAAATTCTTAGGTCAATTCCCAAATATAAGCCAAATCCGCATGTATCACTTTTATAAAATGTTTTCCTTCCAAAAGATAAATTATTTAACTAGCATACTCGTACATGCACAGTCAAGCAAAACTGTATCATTCAGCTTGCCCCAAACTCTAAAAACTCAATACAGAAAAACAAAAGATAGAAGGGGAGGAGGGGCAAGCGTTTGACCAGATTTTAAACACCACAAACAGGTGCTTAAGTCACAGTACGAACACAGAAACCACAGAA